GCTATATTTATTTTTTCAAAAATCAGATGATAAATTACTTTAGCAACATACCAGAATTTAAAATAAACCCACAAAAGCCATGAGTCTTTCTGTATTCCACAGAAATTAAGAGAAAAATGAAAAAGAAACATCATTTATTAAAATTATAAAATGTATTAAATGGTCAGAAATTTAGTTGGCAGATATGCCAACTAAGACACATACCACAAGACCTGTGTAGCTACAACTATGAAACAATTTTAACAAAAATAAAGGAATAATTAAGTAACTGGATAGAACTCTATCCAATGTTCATGGCAGGGGCCAGTCAATAGTCAAGATGGCAATACTATAAAAATTAATTTATATAGTTGATACAATAAAAAAAACAATGGGCTACAATGCGACCAGAACCCAGGGACATTCTCTAATGACCTGATTGCTTTGCTAGAGAGGCTGGTACTCTTTCTGAGTTTGGTAAAAAAGTCACTAAGGGTAATCCATCATGTGAAAATCTGCATTGCTGAAATGATAAATTACAGGATCTGTCCTCTCAGAAGCACTTCACACACTGCTTTATGATTGATTTTTAGTATTAATATTTTATATAAAATGTGACAAAAGAAATTTGCTACAAAAATGCAATGGGCTATTTCAAAAAATTAGATGAAGGGATAAAATGTATAGAGAAGAAACAGACAAGATTATAAAGGGGAATTATTGATGGAGAGAATGAAAAAACTTTACAGTCAATCTCAAATTATACTTTTAAGTAGTAATTATCAAAATTATCTGGGGCAAGAAGATTAAAAAATATAGCAAAGAAACAAAACAGATGATGCAGGTTTGATGAAGCCACAATCATAACAGATAGAGGCAAGAAATCATTAAATGAAAATCACTAGAAAAATTGAATAGTTACACAGTAAGAAATGGGATTGGATATACAATTTGTGTTAGCATAAATTAAATCAATGATCTAAATCTTTTTCTTTTTCTTTTTTTTTTTTGGCGAGGCAATTGGGGTTAAGTGACTTGTCCAGAGTCACACGTCTGAGATCACATTTGAACTCAAGTCCTCCTGACTCCAGGGCCGGTGCTGTATCTACTGCACCATGTAGTTGCCCCCCTAAATCTTTTTAGATAAAAAAATTAATGGAATATATAACAACTTTAAAGGAAACTTTTTTCAGCTATTAAATGTAAGCAGTTACTTGAGACAAAATAGATGGATTTGATGATGTAAAAGTTTTTACAAAACAAAAGCAAAATTCTGAGAAGAGAGAAAAATATTTACCATAAATAATCTCTAATAAAAATATGACATGCAAAATTTATAAGGAACTGGAACAAATAACGGAATAAGATCAACAGGCACTCCTCAAAAGAGGATTGCACATCAAAAACCACTTGAAAAAGTATTCCAACTTTCTAATAGCAAACAAATATAAATAAAAACAATTCTTTGGTAGCACCTCATGCTAAGAATACTGGCAAGGATAGTTACAAAACAATAAAATGAATGTTGCCAGGGCTGTGGAGAAACAGGAACACTCCTTGCACTGCTGGGATAACTGAGTTGCGATCATCTTTTTTGAAAGCAGTATGGCCATAATATACAATGAAAGGTACCAAACTGTTCATAACCTTTGAGCCAGTGATCTAACTATTAGGACTATTGCCTAATGATGATCTGAAAGGGGTTAGGCATACAGGGAGGCCAGCAAAAAAAAAAAAAAAAGGAAACAGCCCATTTTGACCAATGATTAGGATTGGTTAAACAAATTGTGGTATAAAAATGTAAAAGAATATTATGACACTATAAGAAATGACAAGTGTAGCTAGGTGGTAGATAGAGTGCCAGGCCTGGAATCAGGAGGATTCATCCTAAGTTCAAATTTGGCCTCAGACACTTACTAGCTGTGTGATTCTGGGCAAGTCACTTAACCCTATTTGCTTCAGTTTCCTCATCTATAAAATGAGCTGGAGAAAACTCCAATGAGTCACAAAGAGTCAGACACAACTGAAATGACTCAACAACAACAAAAAATGACAAATACAAAGATTACTAGGAAACATGAAAAGTTATATATAGTCATATATCGTAAAGAAAGAATCAGAAAAGAATATATGGACTATGTTATTAAAGTAAATAATAAAGTCACAAATTTCAAAGAAAAATACTCAGAAGAAATAACAATAATAATAGTTAATATTTTATATAAATATACTATACTAAATACACTATGTGCCAGGCACTATGCTAAGCACTTATAAATATCGTCTTATTTGATTCTCACAACAACCCTAGGAGTTAGGTGTTTTTATTATCCCTATTTTCCAGATGAGGAAACTGATGCAAACAGTAAAGTGACTAACCCAAGGTCCCATTAATAAGTATTTGAAGCAGCATTTGAACTCAGATCTTCTAGACTCTAGGCCTCAAGTTCTACTCATTCACTGCACCACCTAGATTGCAGAAAGAGCAGGATGTAATGAACACAGGTGGACTCAGAAGATATGGGTGGGTGATACAGATAAAAATTATCTGTACGATGGTGAGCTGCTTACCTAAATTCTCAGAGCCTCAGTTTCCATGGCTATAAAATGGGGATAATAGTAATCTCAGGACATTACCCAAAGAACTCTTGATAGGAAATGTTTTGCTGACTTTAAAGTGATAGGTAAACATCAGACACTATTACTTAAAGGAGCACAAAGAGGTATAGAAGCGAAAAATATATTTTTGTCAAAGCTAACATACAAATATTTTTAAAATGTTACTGTGGAGTAATTTGAAGTTTATAGATTTACAGTTTTTTAACAAAAGTTTTTCCTTTTCTTTTTTTTTTAATTCTCGGGTTGGTTTTTTTGGGGGGATGGGGGTTTGAGTGTCACCAAGTTAATAATGAAAAAAAGAAACCTGAATTATGGAATAGCTACTAGCTAGATAAGCAGCTAGGTGGCACAGTGGATAGAGTCTTGGGCTTGGAGTTTGGAAGACTCCTCTTCCTGAGTTCAAATCTGGCCTCAGACACATACTAGCTGTGTGACCCTGGGCAAGTCACTTAAACCCCATTTGCCTCAGTTCCTCATCCATAAAATGAGCTGGAGAAGGAAATGGCAAACCACTCCAGTATCTTTGCCAAGTAAACTCCAAATGGGTCATAAAGAGTCAGACAGGACTGAAAATAATTGAACAACTACCTGTATGAACTCTGAACAAGCTTCACACCAGAGGGAGATTACAATAAATATTACACCAGCGAACATCTGGTTCTTGTTTCACCAACAGGCAAAAGAAAGTAAAAGGTGGTCAAAGGGAGTATGGCAGGGGCTTGTAAGCTTATGGGGAAAGTTAGCAAGGATAGATGCTCACCGAGTGGAATGGTGGGAGACAATTCTAGACCATTTAAAATTGTTACTCTCTCCCTCCCCCCCCCACCTCTGTCTCTCCCTCTGTCTCTCTCCCTTTTCCCCCTTTCCCCCTCTCCAAATCCATACACTTGACTTTGCTAAATTAAAGAGACATATAATACTACTCCATTATGTACTTTAATATTTGGTGACTTTAAATACAAAAGAGAGGACAGAAAAACATCAATACATTGTTTAAAAAAAAAACTTCAAAAATAAGACAAGAGAGGCCAAAGGCTTGTATATCAAAAAAAAGCCTTCCACCTATATATCACGAATACCTTCCTCAATGAAAAAACTGGAAGATACTGGACAGTCATTCCAAACACCAAAAAGTCACCACAAAAAAAGGAATGAAATGTGTTATATTTTAACAGAAAGGAAATAACAAGTGACTGATGTAAGAGTCATTTCTAAATCAACTGTTTAAATTCAAACTGAAATTCAAAATCAACTCCAAATTAGAAAACTCGATTCCCAATACATCTAAAAGAAAAAAAGTATACCAAATGCTTACAGGAAAAAAAAAAAAGCCCACAAACTTATCATAACTGAAAAAAAAAGTGACCAAGGAAATATCAATTAACTGTTGGCCATATTGGCTATTTATTTCCCCGACTCTACAAAATCTTTAAGAGAATAATCTAGACACAGGTTGAGGCCTTTCATGATAAAAGGGAGGCAGTGTGATACAGAGCATTCCCAGGCCATCATGCCTGCACCTGCTATATGCTTTCCTCCCTTTGCCATCTTGATCCCCTGGTGAAGGAATTCAATTTTACACTGTCCTAGAGTGCCTTGTCCCCTTAGCCTGCTGTAGATCTTGCCCAGCCAAACCTCAGCTTTGTATCACTACCACTATCCATTGCTTTCACGTCCGTTCTCATGCTGACACTGTTTTCGGTTCTTCGTTATATGAAGTTTGGTGTCAAAAAGAAAAAAATTTAAAGAAAAAGAAAAGCCACCTAAATCCCAGGGAAGAAGGTAAAACATTTTTTCCTACCTATTCTTTACCACTTTAAATTTCCAAAGTGGAAAAAAAAAACTAGCAAAATGTTTTTACAATCATTTCTTTTGGTAATATTGTTTCTGTTCCTATTAAATCCTCATCACCACCACCATCACCCCCCAAAAGGCCTAGATTATAAATTATACTGAGTTAATTTTAAAACAAACTATTTTCATGTGGGATATCCAGATTTTGGGGGGGGGGGAGTAAAGGTGCAGTTTTGGTGGTGGTGGTTATTAAAAACACACACTTTGTAATTATTTACACAATTAATTATCCACTCTGACCAAGGCCTCCCTATACTGGTCTTTTTCTCCAGTCACTCCCACAAAGTCAAGGACCGTACTGGGCTATGGTCCTCAATAGCTGCTCTTTTCACTCAGCAGAGCCAGAAACTGACATGATCAATTTCAGCTCCTCCCCCCTCCCTCCAGCGTCCGCCCGGGCTCCCTCCGCTCCCAGTGGAACACCCCGGAGCCGGGCTGCGGGGACTCGGACGCCCACCCGGCGCTAAAGCGACCGTTCGGGCCGTATTTTCCCCCGCAGAGCGGGGCAGGGGCTGGGAAGCCCTGGCGAGGCGCGCGCCGCCCCGTACCTGGATCAAGCCGTGCTGGAGCAGGGCGCTGTGCACGCAGCCCGGGACCCGCGCCTCCAACGCCACGGAGCCGTCCCGGTTGCGGAGAAGCCAGCTGCCGGCCAAGCTGAAGCCGACGGAGCTCGGCCGGCTCTGCCCCGGCGAGGCCGCCGCCAGCAGCAGCAGCAGCAGCAGCAGAGGCAGCAGGAGGAAGCATTGGCAGCTCGTCTGTGGCCCGGGCACCATCCCGGGCACCCGCGCAGCAAGCCGGAGAGGCGGCTGGGCAAGTCGGGAACCACCGGGAACCCCACGGATCCTCCCGGCCCGCCCCCGAGGTCAGCTGAGCCGAGGCCGCATAACCGCTTTTCAGAGGTTTTTTTTGCGCGACGCAGAAGGAAGCCTGGGCACATTTGAGCCAGTGCGCATGCGCTTTGCTGGGGCTGTTCCCCTGGAGAAGTTGCACTCTCCCCCAGCCTGAGAGTTCTGCACCTCTTTATGGCTTGGACTTTTGTCGGTATGGAGAAATACATAAAATAAAACAAAGGGTGACGAAGGAAAGCACTTATATTGAAATCAGTTAATTTGTGGCAAAGATACTAAAGTGCTTTGCCACTTCCTTCTCCAGCTCATTTTACAGATGAGGAAACTGAGGCAAATAGGGTCAAGCGACTTCTCCAGGGTCACAGGGCTCTGGATTTCAACTTGGGAAGATGAGTCTTCCTGACTCCAGGCTTGGCACTAACCACTGTACCACCTAGGTAAAAAAAAAAAAAAAAAAAAAAGAACTCCAGAAAAGGGTGAAGACTGCTTGGCTAGCACTACAAGTGCCCAGAGTGTCAACTTAAGAAAAACCCTTTTACTTTGAAGTAAATATTTTCATCCTACTATCCTACTTTTGTCAGTTGATGCAGTTTGGTCTTCCTAGTGCTAGAAATACCTTGGCGCGGGTAGTGTGGACAATTTGGAGGAATGGGTTTGTTCTGTTAAGGGGGCTGGAGGTGAATGAGGGGAGAGGGCGGGGAGCGGGGCGGGAGAAAGATGGCATGGAGAAAAGGGATTGAGGGAAAACTGAAGAAAAAAATCCAGGCAAATGCAAAGACAACCGAATGGGGGTGGGGGAGGGGTAGTGAGGGTAGCCTGGTTACTCCAGCCAATCAATCAACCAGCATTTATTACTGATCAGTCGTTTTCAGGCGTGTCTGCCTCTTCCTGACCCTATTTGGGTTTTTCTTGACCCAGATACTGGAGTGGTTTGTCATTTCCTTCTCCAGCTCATTTGGCAGATGAGGGAACTGAAGTAAACAGGGTTACGTGACTTGCCCAGGATCACACAGCTAGTAAGTGTCGGAGGCCACATTTGAACTCAGAAAGATGATTCTTCCAGACTCCAGGCTTGGCCACCTAGCTGCCTCAAACGTTTATTAAGAACCCGCTATTTGCCAAGACAAGGGTTGAATCATCCCTACTGAGCTTGCATTCTAATAGGGTAGACAAGTGTCCCTATGTAAGTAGATACAGAATAAAAAAAGAAGAGAATAAACTAAAAATAGTTAAATCCAGAGTAGCTTGGGAGTAAAGGCAATAGGAGCTGGGAAGATCAGAAAAGGTTTCCTAAAGTGCTTAAACTGCCTCCCAATCATGTCTTCCCCAACTTGCTTCTCTCTTCCTTCCCAGCCCCCAATTTCACATGTCCAAATAAAACAGGATAGACCCAGCCTTTCAGAAAGGAAGCGAGGGGAGACTGGAGTTTTTTGTTTGTTTGTTTTTGTTTAGTTTTAAATTACACCTTGTGCAGCAGTTTTGTTTTATACAATCAGGAGTATGTTGGAGCCAGAAAGTTCACTAGAGCCAATTGTTAAATTTTATTTGACCATTTACACCTGAGAAACTGGCCAACCTTACAAATTAGGACTTGATTTATTATTCTTGTTGATTGTCTAGACTTAAGAAAGCAATGGAGGGGAGCAGCGAGGTGGCGCAGTGGATAGAGCACCAGCCCAGAAGTCCGGAGGACCTAAGTTCAAATCCACCCTCAGACCAAACACTTGACACTTACTAGCTGTGTGACCCTGGGCAAGTCACTTAACCCCAATTGCCTTGGGGGAAAAAAAAGCAATGGAAGAAGTCTAAATAGTGCATATTAAATATAAAAGTGTGACAGAGGTATATTCCCACACACACCCCAGCCTGTTGTTGAACATTTTACCAGCACACTACTGCATTCAGTATAGGGGCAGTATGGGATAGCAGAAAGATTTGGATTCTAGGGACTCTTTCCATTGGATATATTTATTTTGCAGTTCCAAGGCAAGGGCCATTGGGGGAATTTAAATTTAAAATGCTACTAGATGATTTCTATTAAATAAACTATCAACTTTCTTGTATGAGTAAAAAATTTTATTGATAGCTTTCATTTTCATATTAACTACATTTCAAGTATATTCCTTCCTTTTTCCTCCTATCAGAGAGCCCTTATAACAAAAAATAACAGAGGAAAAAAAAACCAGTTAAACAAAACTAACCAGTACATCAATCAAGCTGGACATTATATACAGTGTTCAGAACCCTCCTAACTCTACAAAGAAGGAAGAGAGGTGCAGTCTTATCTCTCTTCTTTGGGGCCAAGTTTGGTCATTAATAATTACACAGCATTCAGTTTCCATTTTTTGTTGTTGTTGATCTTTACATCATTGTAGGCAAAAATATTATTTCCCTGGTTCTGCTTACATCATCATTTCTTACAGCACAATAGTATTCCATTATATTCACATAACAATAATTTGTTTACTCATTCTCCAATCAAAGGGCATCTACTTTGTGTCTAGTTCTTTACTAGTACAAAAAATTCTGAAATAAACATTTTGGTGTATATGACACCTTCCTTTTAATCACTGACCCCCTTGGGGCATAGTATGCATTAGCAGTCAGCTCTCAAAAGGTATGGCCATTTTAGTCACTTTATTGTAACTCCAAATTGCTTTCCAGAATACTGGATGAATTCATAGCTCTCTCAACAGGGTACTAGCGTCCTTGTCTTTCAATTCCTTACAACATTGATCATTTCCATCATTTGCCACATTTGCCCACTTGTTGGGTATGAAGTGAAACCTCAGAATTAACTTATTCTCAAAGATATACAGAAAATAGAAAAACACAAATGAGCTTTTTAAAAGCAAAGTTTTTTTTCTAAAGTTCTGAAATTTTATATAAAGCATACTTTTGACCCTTTCCAAAATGCTGAAATATTTAGGGAAAAAATATTTGATGATACTAATATTGGAGATAAGGGGGGAAGGCATTATGCATTTGTAAGTTATGCCAAATGGACCTAAGTACTGTCAATTACATGAACTTAAGAGTTCAATTTTTTTTTATGATTTGAACCTTTAATATGACTTTAAGTATAATTGATTAAAGTAATTTGGGCCTTTTTGCTTAAGTCACAAATAACTAAATTATTGATAAATCAGGAAGAATAAAATTACAGAATAAAATCATAAAAGGCAGTTGCTAATATATGCTAACATAAAGGAGATGGATTGAGGGTCCTCCTCCCTCTCCATCAGTCTGAGTATATCTCACTGCTGAGTACGGGCATCTACTATGGGATAATTGACAATCCCTGATTGGGTCCCAAGGACTTGAAACTGCCCCAAAGAGAGTTGTGTGGCTGGGTCTCAGGTAGACAGACTTTTGTCCTGGGAGCTGTCTTTTTGCACAACTTTGTCTCATATTCCACCCTCAACTGGAGTTTTCTCCAGGAAAAAATTTCTCCCCCATCCCTTTTTAAATGAACTATTGATGCTCTTTTTAGAAAAAATTATTGTAATCACCCTATGATTTCCCCTCTCCTCCCCATCAGTCCAAAAGAAACCTCTGTTGTAACAAGAAAGAATTGTAAAATAAATCATCACAGGGGCCATGTCCAAAACGTTGATGTCTCATTCCAAAATCTATGCTACTCTGCTGAGAGGTGAGACTGCATTGCTTAGGCTCCCAAAGACTTTCAGTGTACTCTTATTTTACATGATCATGTTCCTGCTACTGCATCATGAAGATACTACAAGAACAGAAAGGACAATTAGGCTTTGCAGTGTTGGAGACATGTGTTGCTTTGGCCTTAGGTATTTCCTCTGTGTGTGTGTGTCTCATTACCAATAGATTACATGTGCCTACTCTTACCCTGATGCTGTATTTGTGAAAGAGTACAGGGCCTGGAGTCAGGAACTTGTCTGAGTTCAAATCCAGCCTCAGACACTGTGTGACCCTGGGCAAGTCACTTAACCCTGTTTGCCTCAGTTTCCTCATCTGTGAAACGAACTGGAGAAGGAAATGGCAAACCACTCCAGTATCTTTACCAAGAAAACCCAAATGGGGTCATGAAGAGTCGGACACAATTGAAAAATTACTAAACAAAAAAACATACCAGGATTATGGGGGGAAATGTTTGGAAGCTTCTGATACTGCTGTCACCTTAGCAAATGCATTTACTTTGAGCTAATTGTTTCTTCTGGCTGACAAGTAGAGGTAAATATACCAGTGGAGGCTGCTGAGCTATAGTTTTAGGAGTTCATACCCTTGAACTTGGGAATGGTGACCCCACTGTGGAAGTTTCAGTTAGGAATACACAAGTGAATACTATAAGAAGAAATATATAAAGCACCAAAAGAACCCATCAAGTCCCCTCATAAGTCAATCATGTCTTAGCACTGTTAGGCAAACCACAGAACTTCCTATTAGACCCACGTCATAATCATTCACTGTAATAGTGGAGAGGGGAGGGGATGCGAAGATTCATATCCCTTGCTTCCCCAAGCTACAGATCCATTTTGCTAGAAGGGATGCTCATCTTTCTCCAAGAAGCGTGCTGTTCAGGAAATCTTCCTTCTCTGGACAGGAAAAGCCTCCAGCCCCTTCAACTTGGGAGCTTTTTAATTTGGGGTTACTTATGAGGTAATTCCCAAGGTTGGTGTTGCTCAGGAAATCTCCCTTCTCTAGCCAGAAGGGTACATTCTGGGATCACCCCAGAATCCCTTTTGGCATACGTGAAGTCCCATCTCTGGTATGTTAGAGATGTTCTCTGTTTTTGAGGGTTTCAACATGGTGATTTTTGGAGAAACGGTTTATCTGTTACTCCTTCATCCAATCTACACTATGGGATCTTTGAGTGTAAGCAACTGGTTGAGGGGAATGAGCATATGTATGGGACCAGAATGCTTCCTCATTACCCAAGCTAACAAGGGGAAGAGAGTTTTCTTTATGATGCCAGGTGCTATGGGCTATCAGGACCCAAGAAGCCACATTTCCTATGGGATTATTATTGGGAAAGAGTGGGTGACTTCATCTGGTTTTTAGAGGTCAAAGA